AAAAAACATATTTATGTCCTTGAAAACTTACAATATAAAAAATTTGATCTGTACAAATCCTACATCATCTGGCAGTTAAGGTAAGATGCACTTTGAGATTTTACCACAGATGTCCAATAAAAACACTGCATTTAATTGACAACGTGTTCTAATTACTTATCTATAACAGTTCATGTTTTCTTTCCAAGAGAAGGAAATTGTTGATGAATTGAGGAGAATTCAATGTTCTAAGCAGAAANGAAACAATATATGTTAAACATTGAATGTCCTAAGCAGAAACAGTGTAAGCATGTTCTTGGCTTCTTCACATTGTAGTAACTTTGTGGTTCCAATTAACAGTGAAGAAACGCCATATCAAAAGTTCTTTAAAACAAAGCTGCAAAATTATCTAATTTTGTGTTTTTTTAAAAACAAGAATTTCCAGATACCATCATAAATTTCAAGCTATAATATCATCACCACTGCAGCTAGGCCATTTATGAAGAAAGCTGGTCCCATGTTTGCACTCGACTCGACTCCCAAATATTGGAAGTTATGAATACCAAAAACAGCCTTTGCAAAGAATTCAGACAACTCAGTTTCTTTATAGAACATCAGTTCAGTTTATATAAATGATAAAAAAGTGTGAACACCGAAGTAATAAAATCAGTACACCGACTAAAAAGTTTCACAGTACAGCATTCCCTCCTGTGATTCTCAGCTGAAAACAAATCCAATCTCTATTAGAAGCAAAATTATGCAACTATAGTTCCTTAATCTTAATGGCACATAATATTTCTCAATCCTTTCTTTAGTCAATGGAAACTGCAGAGTTTTTGCATTTCTACCCATTGTTCCTCATCTACTACCCCTAAAATTTAAATCAACACTAATAAAAATTCTAAAAACCATATATTTTACACCGCTGCTTCACAATTTTACACTAATCACGCTTCATTGAAACTTGTCACTCCTTCCCAATTTAACACTGTTAAACACAATTGCGGCAAATATTTTTGCACTGGAAAACAGAACCGTACAATTCACAAAATTGAAAACCTTATTCTCGAATATTTGAAGCCCCAACAGACACAGTTCAAATACTTTATACCAATAACAGAGAACACGGGAAAAGGGAATTGAACTGTTGAAGAACTTACTTAACAGAGGTGATTCCAGTACTACCACAGTGAAGGCAATTAAAAGGCGCCGGCGTATCTCGGTAAATTGTCTGCTGAAGAGGAATTCCTTTTGGGTCCCCAACGACGGCGTTTGGGGGGACTGCACCGGATTGATAAGGGTTTTCGCCTACGTAATACTGTTGAGGCATCGGCGCTTGGTACGCCGCATTGTATGGGATCCCGATCGCAGGCTCCTCAATCTTCGACGATTTCTCCATAACAACAACGATTCGATTTTTCAGAGGAGGGTTTTTAAGATTTTCGAAGAATTTAATGAATTTTTCCGGAAGAGAAATGTGCGGATAGTTGACGGGTCTAGTAAGAGATCTACTTTTCATTACAACGTGGTGTGATTTTATTGGTGAATTAAGTCGCAGGACCCCACTACTATCACCCGCTAGTTTCCTACATTCCGCGGAAACGAAAAATCATCTAGAATATCAATGTACGAATCAATGACTTTGACTTTTGTTTTTAAAAAAATATTTCTACCTTTATATCTATTTATAATTTTTAAATAATTGATAAACACTTTCCAAACATGTTCAGAATCAGCACTACTTGAGCAAGTTAAAGAAAAAAAAAATTAAAAAGGATTTTCATGTAACACTTTCCAAACATGGTTAGATTTAACACTCAATAATTTGTATGTATCTTTTTTACGCTTAAATTATAATATGTTCATCGTGTCATTTCGCCTCAACTCCTTTAGAAAAGGTTTTTTTTTTTTTGTGTAATATAAAAGTGGGTCAAATTTATTAATGATCTTCAGACTAACTTATTGCATGATTCAAATCATCCTCTTATTCTCAAAAAATTATTCTAGGCCACTATAGGATTGGAAAAAGAAACTGTCACCCAAATGATTTAAAGTTCCTCCGAATGGTCCCAATATCGAAGTATTGCACAAGAGCTTGGGAAATGGTTAATGCAAAAACCTTTGACTCGGGGTTTAGGGATCAAAGCGATTTTGACACACCATCTAATCTAGTTACATCGTTGATGAAAACAAAGGTAGAATATGGCTCAACCAAAGATACAAGTGAAGGGAGAACATATAGAATAGTGCCCAAAGGGGAGGGGAAGGAAAGAGCTAGCCTATCTATAGTTCATGAACTTACTTGAGAAAGTACCATTAGTCTATTCTTCATCATAGAGTTTCTCATCAATATAAAATCTTTTCTATAAATCGAGGAAGTTTAGCGTGATCGTGTGGAGTCCTAATTACCTTCATATAGGAGCCACATGGAGGTCTTGAACACGTGAACAGTCGAACCATCAATGCCAGAGCCTAGGTTGACACACCTAAGGCTTAGGCCAACGTTGTAGAGGCCCAAGATGAACCAATCACTGTGGGTCATCCAAAGATCAAAAGTTAACGTTAGAAGAGGTTGAAGCCATAGGTTGAGGTGCATAGACTGCCAATATCCTAGATATATGAAGAACTCCAGAGAGTCTGAAGAAGCATGTGAGTTGTAACCCATAGGGTAGTTTAGTGAGGCATAGATATTGTGCTACAAATATCTAATGGCAGATCGAACATCAAGTAAGCTCTCCCAAATAGGCATGTGTTGGGCAATCTTGTCAAAGTGTCGCACACCATACACTCCAATAAGGAAAGATGAATGATTGGATGGGACAAGGCAAAAAGGAGCAATCAGCACTTCCATACAATTGCCATATATGCACGTATGCTAGAGGTGATAGTTATGAGTCAAGTCGTCCACCACCCACTCAATGGTAGCACATTGGTGGGAGATAAATCCTTAAGTGGGGTATTTAAAAATTATAATCCCAAACAAAACTCTATCGATTAGTCTTCCCACGCTCAACTTTCTACCATTTAATTTGGTAGCCAAGATGCATAAGATTGTTGCACCACCTTTAGCATCAATAATTTTGCATTCTAATGTAGTCTTAGTGTGCAAGAGCTACATAGGTGGACATAGAAGTCACAACATTATTGACCTCGTCGGACATATTTTGAATTTTTGAGGTATTATTTCTTTTAAATATAAAAAATATATATTTTGAGTGTAGATCCTAGCGTAAATCATCTTAACTTGAAATCTGTTATTCTATGGTAAAATAAATTGTCAATTGATTCCCAGCTCCATGAGAAGGGCCATGGACATTATGGAAAAAAGGGTGAATGTGTTATGGACTTAATCCAGTGACGGGTTCGTAGTCTAAGTAGACTGATTGCAGCAACGACTAACAAATCATTGGACCTATAGGTTCAGTCAATTCCTTTGGACTTTGTTTGCACAGAGTTTTGAGCCCAATAGCTCAATATAAGAAATAGAATTTCAATTAGGCTATTCTACTTAGGGATGGCAAAAAAGCTTGCCAATTCGGACGACTCGAAAAAAGCTCGAGTCTGGCCCGGCCCAGCTCGGGGCTCGGTGTAAGGCTCGGGCCGAGCCTCATTTTTTTGGCCGAGCCTGAGTTTTTTAATTTAATTTATAGTATGTATAAACCGTACAAATTTTTAATTTTTTAAGTAAAAATGTAGATTTGACATTAAAAAAAAAACCCCTCGACCGACTCTGTCCAGCTCGGCCCGAAAGCTGGGGCCGAGCCTCATTTTTTTTGGCCGAGCTTTGCTCGGCTCAACTCGACTAGGGCCAAAAAAACTTGGCCTAAAAAAGTTCGAGCCGAGTCCGAACTTTTTTTTTTTCGACTCGACTCGTTGACATGGCTAATTCTACCCACTTCAAAAATATAAAGAGTACAAAGGTACTTCATACTTCAAAACGCAATAAAACTTCAAGAAATTCGACACTTGCAACGCCAAAAAGTCTGTAAAACATTAACCCTTATTCGGTTTAGCTAAAATACTGAATTTTAATAAAAATTGATAAAAATTGTAAATCCCATAAAATATGTAGTTGAATATGAATCCGAGAAAAAAAAATTTTTTTAAAATGTGGTCACATACATACACGAGCTAAGTTTGAAAATGTGAATTGTATACTCTAATCATGTGCGTAATTTGAATTTTTCGAATAGAAAAACATGCACCTTCTAGTAAAATACAAGGGAAGATTCTCGAGTACAATTTCAAGGAGGAAAAGTCTGAAATTTGGGACAATAATGTGGAAGAAAGAAGCACGCTAGAGTTGAAGTCACTACAATATGTTCCCTTGGTGCATAAAACTATGCAACGTGTAAGGAATACAAGTGCTTTCACATTATCTTATTATATGCACCAAGTACTTCCTCTTACAATATTAGTGCAATTCTCGGACTTTTTAGAAAGTTAAATTTAATTTAATGAGTATTAGTCAAAAGAGGGGGGGATTTATAAAGACGATTGCCAGCTATTAATGATCCAGATGCCAAAAAAAGACTCCAGAGGCTCCATTTGTTAGGTTGAGGACCTACTTATCATAGTAACGTTATTTAACACAATTGATATTTAACACAAGTCTGATTGGCAACGTTAATGAAATGAAATTAAAAGTTTAAATAAATACAAGGGATTATGGTCCATTTAATACGACCTACAATATGTTGACACATAAAATGTTCTACACCACTGGTTCTGAACAGCGTTATTCCTACTTATTGTGGTGAAGGCACGTGGGTTCATGTGGGAAAATTGATCCCATCTTTTTTTAAAAAAAATTCTTTTTACTTTTTCCACGAAGTTAAAATTTTTGCCAGTTCCATCTTTGTACAAATTTTCCCTTGTAAGGCAAATCACCAATTAATGGTTCATTTATCTTAATTCTCTAAGATTTGTCGATTTCGTCAAATTTTCCCTTTTTCCTCGAAGTTAAAATTTTTGAGCAAAAAAATTCCTCAATAATTTTTATTATAATTAAGTTCATCTAAATGCCATTAAGGTTTTTTGCAGCCATATTTAAAACAACAACTAAACGTGGAAATTACACCCTTCCCTACTTTTGGAGATCTAAATTCTAAAATCAGATTTTAAGTTTTAAGTTTCAAAAATCAAATATTTTATATATAGATACAGGTTTTTTATATTTAATTAAATATTAATAATAAGTTTTTTATTTAAATGTTAAACATTAATTATACAATTTTCCCAATCTAATTAGTAATTAATTTCATCCCACCAAACCCTAATTACCGTCACTTTCTCCTCTCTCTCTCTCTCTCTCTCTACCTTCCCCACCTCATTTCCCCTTCCATCTCTCCCCTCTATATTTGATTTATTGCAAACACCACCGGTGATTCCACTACAGTCACAGCCTCTTACATCACCGCCTTCGACTGTTCCAGAGTCTTTTGAAGTGGTCAACACTCCAGCCAGCCCGAATTCTTCATCTATGTTGCTGACGCTCAGCAGCCCTCGATGGTGGCCATGTTGAAGGGAGATGAAGCGGCGCTGCACAGCGAAGCGGCGATGGTGGAAGTGCGATTTTTAGGACAGCGACGGTGGAGAGGAAGTGCGATGGAGAAGACGCCAGTCGCTTCTCGCAGCGACGAGCTCCTCTATGGTCTCCGGTGATGGAGATGACGCCAGTCACTTCTCGCAGCGGCGAACTACGGGAGTTTCGACAGGTATTTTTCGAAATCTTAGCGCCGCGACAAGCTTCAGTACGGCGACTACTGCGAAGTGGTCACAATATCGATCTGAACGCCGATAGATGGTGGAGGTGGTCGATCTGTGGTATGTGTTCTGATTTGTGCGATTTGTGTGGTGGTGCTGGAGATCGATGCTATGAGATGGGTGGTGTGGTTTGTGTTTTAGTGGTGCTTGTTGTGGTGATTGTTTAGTGGTGGTGGTGCGATGATATATTGTTGTTGGTGGCAATGGGCAGTGACGATGGTGGTGCCTTTTTTGTTGTTGGTGGCGATCACAGTTGTGCATTTCTGTTGGTGGTGGAGGTGGTGGTTTCCCGTGGTGTTGGTGGTGTTGTGGTGGTGATCACAGTTGTGCATTTCTGTTCATGGTGTAGGCGGTGGTTTCCCGTGGTGTTGGTGGTGTTGTGGTGGTGGGGTGAGAGTGCGCAAGTGACAGTGGTGGTTGTCCTGGACGCGGTGGTAGTGGTCGTGGCGATAGTGCAGAGGTGGTGGGGGTGGATCTGGTCATTTTGATTTTCTGTGATCTTAAAATTCGATAACATGTGACTAAAAATATAATCTGTTACCAACCATTTTGTTATCTGTGATCTAAAAATTATATAATCTGTAACCGTGAAAAAAATCTGTGACCAAATAATTTGAAAATATGTGTTCATATGACATTTTGTGACTAAAAATATAATCTGCGACATTAAAATTCGATAATTCGTGACTAAAAATGTAATCCGTGACCAACCATTTTGTTATCTGTGACCTAAAAATTATATAATCTGTGACCGTGAAAAAATCTGTCACCAACTATTTTGGTAGTATGTGACCGTGTGACCTATAAAAATGTTGTGACCAAAAATCAATATTAACAGATCACATGTGGAGAAGTCGCCGGAATGGTCACCAGAATAATCGTCGAAATCTGATAAGTCGTCAGAACGGTTGCCGAAATCTGAGTAGTAGTCGGAACAATCATCAGAATAGTCGTCAGAATCGGAGTAGTCGCCGGAGCGGCAAGGGTGGTGGAGGTGGGGTGGGTTAACTATATTATACATATCTTTATATCTTTTTATATATTTATATATATAAATAAAAAATATATAAATATATGTTTATGTATATGTTAAAATATCTGATTTTAAAATTTTCAAAATTGTTTTCTTATTTTTGAAATGGTATGTAGGTTTGATCTTATATATAAATTTTTCCCTAACTATAATCTGGATAACGAAGAAATTCTAAATAATGATTAGCTCTAGATAATTATGAAAATTAAAGATAATGATGAAAATTAAAATCCCTAGTATTCAGAATTAATCCGCAATAAATGGAATAAATTTCGATTTTATTAAATAAAACAAAATTATCCAAAAATCGAAAAACATATTTTTGGAGTACTAAATGATGAAGTTTGGCCAAAAGAGGTCAAACATTTGAGTTTTGCTTATTGGACCGCTCACACTCAAAATTGACCCAAACTTCTACGAAAGCGAAAATTGAAAAATCATTTTTGTTGATGCGATCCCACTTTTTTCGTACAATCTTCTTCCTTTTGTATTATATTACAAAGCTTACGCCTTCCTATCACAAGTATATACCATGCAATCGCAAAGTGAGTAATTTTAATTCCTGCAAGTGAAAAAGACGTACATTTGCAATCACAAACCTAAATCCTGTGTGATGGATGGTGTTATCGGCCAGGATTTGTTTTCTATTCTGATTCAACCTCTAGTGGAAAAGTTACTAGGGCACGAGTTTTGACCTAATCTTAGGACTATAAATACATATTCATCATTGATTTAAAAAAGGAGACATTTAGGATACATTAGACGTATTCCATGCAAAAGGAAGAAGCCTAGTAGAAGCTGTGATACAAAACGCATCCTACATATTCCATACATCTTCTCTTGAAGAAGGAGAAGAAAAAGAAGGAGATTCAAGAAAATCGATCAAGAATAATTGAAGTAATTCAAGATTATTTTCTATCTTCCCTCTGCACTTTAAATTCGAGTGACTTTGCATCCATCCAAATCGCGTTATTGTAATCATATGATGGTTGACTAATTGAATGGATGTTAGGACAACAACAAACCCTATGTTTTCATATTTTCATATTCAATTCGAGATCTTGTACTCAAAACTTGTTTGATTTGAATGCTTTTTAGGAGTTTAATACTTTTCAATTACTTCGGCCATTAATTGAATTGATTTGTGATTTCTATTTTCATTAGGGTGAATGAATATGAAATATAGCATTTGACAATCACTTTAAAGGTCTATATATATGTTAGAAGTAATAATAGTTGCTTTGCATTATCTCATTAAATGTTATCATAATCTAATCATATTCAAATGTTCGAATTCGGGATAAGAGTATTTTGAGTCATAAATGATGATATATTTAATTCTAATTGGAAGAGATTATTAAATAAAAAAAGGAATATTGATCTTCGAGTCCGAATAAGTGTTATCAAATTGATATTAAGATGGAAGAATTGTTTTTTCTTTTTGGGGGAAGGGAGGGGGTTCAAAGTCATGTGCTTTGTCCATTGATTGAGTTTCACAACCGCTTATGAATGGTAGAAAAATCCGTTCAACCCAATATTCGCGGACCCCACCTTGAATGGGGAATGAATTACCCATCTAATCGGATAAACGGGACAAGGATAGTTGCCCCGAAACAGGTATGGGAACATGGTCCCTTTCTCGCTACCTACCCATTTAAATTTAAGTTTTTTATCAAACAAAAAAATAAAATTATTATCATTTTTAAGGAGAACATGAGTTTTTCTTAACAAATTTTTATTTTTTAAAAAAGATAATAACATTCACTAACTAAAGTTACCAAAAAAAAAAAAACAAGGACGATAAACGGGACATGTGACTTTCTCCCCCCTATCCTTCTTTAACTGGATATGGGAGAGGATTAAGGTAACAAAAATACTTAATGGGACGGTGGAAGAAAATGGTTGACCCGTTCCATATCAAACCCGTTGTCATCCGTATAACCGCTTCCTAACAAATTAACTAGTTGGTTAGGTTAGTTATATGAATTATTAGGAACTGTGAATCATCAATCTCTAATTAATTGTGTTACTCAATTAAAGTAAGTGATAATTGAAAACTTAGTTGTAGTGGGGTCGATATTTGGAATCACGTCCACTTTATTACTTGTCACTATGTCGTCCATTTGCGAGATTTTAGCGTAATTTTATACCACCTCTAAAATGGACATTGTTTATAAAATTTCATTTTAATACACGATGAGATGGACGATGTCAAGTTGATGTGGCATGAAGTAAAGTAGACGATGTCAACGTGTTTTTCTACAATTTTTTAGAAGTTCGGCCTAACCGTAACTAATTGGAGACATAAAGTGTAAAAAAAAAAATTATGATATTTAGAAGTACTGGTGTTACGACACCAGTCTAGATAAAATTGAGTGACATTGAATGAAAAATACAATTTAGTCATATAATTCTATATTTAATTGAACATACTTCTTAGTGTCACATAGACAAATATCATAGTATCAGTAATGCTAAATATCATTATTCAAAAGTTAAATATTTTTTCTCTTTTCTAATCGAGAAAAAGTATTATTTATATGTACCAAAACAAAATGACTGGACTATAGAAAAACTCATCGAGAACCAATTTTGAACTTCACCATTTATTTTTAAACATTGATGTCAAATGAACTGAAAACAAGATGACTGATAATGAGAATAATGACTGGGCTAGCTACATATTGAGGCAGGGAGGGGGAGAGAGAGACAGAGTTGGTAGTTGTCAGCGTGGACAGGAAAAAAGAGTTCAGATTTGATTCCATATTCGAAAAATACCAATTATATGTGTCGGTCCTTTGTAACACTGACCCAAATATCCAACCTACCATTCCCATGCCCATCTCGTGAATATATTCCCTTTTCTGCACCACCAATACCAGTACCTGCTCTTGCTTCTCTACTCTCTTACTACCCTTTCTAACAAAACCCCCATTTTGGTACCCAAATTTTATTTTATTTTAAATACATATTTTATTGGACCTATATCTTTTATTGACTTTTTAATCATATTTTCATTATTTTTTTTTTATCAAAATAGATATTTTTACTCAAACCAAACTAAGGCTTTAAAATCTTTTTAATTAATTGCTCTCGGTCTTCACTTCTCACCTGCATAACCTCTTTCTATTTCAAGAAAGTTTACATATTGAATTGTTGGAGACGTGTTGTATAATATTGAACTATATTAAGAAGTAAAATCTCGTTTACTCTATTGAGATCTAATCTCGTGTCCACCAGGAACGGATCCAGGATTGGACTACATGTTGAGCTAAAAAAAATTACACATGAAATTATACAAAACTAAAAATAAAAAATGAAGTGGGCCTACATCCGTCCCTATTGTCTACAGTAAACAGAATAAAAATTTCTCACTACTGACATGACAAGAGAATCTTACTTATGGAACTCATTTGCAATAATCGTATATTCAGAGAATCATAATTACAGTTATCTCTTGACATCAGCAGTGAAATTTTTTTATCTTACGAACACGAGATCAATTCATTGTCTACACTATTTGAAAAATTAAATTAGTCGCATAAATAAATTATATTTTTATTAGTTTGAGCCATTTGGTTTGTGTTTCGGAAAAAGCAGAGGGTGTTGAAGGAAACCCCGGCATTCTTTTCGGTTACTGCATTTTCACCGTTTCTCACCAACAAAACTATTTTATCAGATCTCAAATCTAGCCTTCCAAATTCCAATTCATTCTCCCAATTTTCCTCAGAACTTTTAATTAAAAATAAAATTAGAATGTCTTGAGTCACGTGATTTACATGCGCGTGAATCAGGTCCTCGTTGAAAGATTCTCACGCGCGATAAAAACTCCTCTTGACCTAAAATCCTACCATTTTTTATTTCATTCTTACCTTACTTTTTTTGTTCTTAAACTCTCTCTATCTCCCTTTTGAATGCCTATAATTTAAGTAAGTTAATTTAAGTTAGTGGATGTAGAAATGGCAGCTCCAAATATGGCTGCAATAACTGCATCCTTAGAGAAATCTCTTCAGAACTGTTCTCTAAACCACCAAGAAAGCAGCACCCCCGACGGCGGCGGAGGGGTGGATGATGGGACGGGGCTTGGCCACTCGGCCACTTCAACTTCACCTGAAAATCATCATTTGGATGCCAATTTAGAACTGAATTCCCAAATCTCACTCCCTTTCCATTGGGAACAATGCCTAGATTTGAAGGTAAACCAGATCTTTGCTCTTTCTTTTACTGTCTCTTTGTTCATTAATCTCCACATCTAGCAAGCAATGGTTTCCGCTGGCCAAACCCTAAAAAGGGCATCAACTTTTCATCCATTTACCTTTTCCATTGCCTTTCATTTACTCCATTTTCTCCAAAAAAGGAATGAAAAAGGAAAAACCCTTATAATTTTTAGCCTTTTAGGGTACCTTTAGTGCAAATTTGATTGGCGTTTTTTGGTTTCTTTTTGTTCTTTATGTTTCTTGATTCTATGCATTACAGACTGGTGAAATATACTACATAAATTGGAGGACGGGAATGAAAGTGACGCAGGATCCGAGGACCACCGTCGAGTGCAGTGGGGATTTGTACTCTGAAGACGATTGCAGCTCGTATGACAGTGAAGAGTCATCATCAGAGCCTTCACCTTCATCACAATGGAATCATAATCAAGATTATCATGATCATCAAAGCAATGAACAAGAGAATCTGAATGTGCTTGTTGTGGCTGGGTGCAAACGGTGTTTAATGTACCACATGGTTCCTAAACAGCTCCAAGATTGCCCCAAATGTTGTGGTCAACTTATCTACTTCGACCGATCCGAAAATGGCTCCCCATAAATCTTTTTAAATATCATATCTTTCCGACATGTTTGGTTACATGGATTAGACATTACTCAACAGTTTTGTTCCTCGAACTATCGAGTAGAGTCTAATATTGTACACGAACATGCTTTTATGTTTGCTTTTTTCTTATTTTTTTGAATGGAGTGCTAAGAATGTGGAGTTGGATGTAGACTGTGGAGTTTCTGAAACCAGACCAAGGGCTACTATTCTTGTTGCTAAATTTATGGTGTCTCAATATTTTTCATCTGTTTTTAATTTTTCATGCATTGCTTTTATAATTCATTGAAGTTGCGGGGATTTGTTGTAAACTAGGTAAGAGTTTGAAGTGTCAACTACTTGAAGAATGATATGTGTAATGATTGCCGTTACAATTTAAGATTGAGATATTAAGAACAAAGAATTATCAAGCTTCCCATAATGCCAAATAAATTTTGGATTTTTATGAGTTTCCTTATTTTTAGTCCCTGTTTGACAATCATTATAAATTTTTTTTTTTTTTTGGAAAATGAGTTTAGGAATAGTGAATATTTTTGGAAAACGTGTGGTTAAAAAGTAAGAAAAGAACGAAAGAAATTGGGTTTTAGTGCGTAATACTTTACACTGAGAATGTGGTTGAAAATGAGTTTGTGAAAAAAGAATTTTGTAAAAATGGTTGTCAAATAGGGGCAACACTATCATCCCTCAAGTGTCATTTGTCACAAATAGCAACCAATCGAGAAGGCTAATCAGACCTTAACACTGAATTAATAGCCAAGATCGAGAGGATATCGTCATCTATGTCATGGCAAAGTCGAGAAGCTAACTACCCTAACTTCACACACAAATCACGACATACATATAATGTTATCATTTATAGAAAATAAACTCATTTGCAACAAAATGTTGTGAAAATTTCAACTTACAAATCTTTCATAAAATCGGAATAAAGACATTTACTAGACATTAATAATAACCCTCAAAGTTAGATTCTCAAATCACCTACAAAGTATAGTACCAAATATAACTACTAAACATGACATTAATGTCCAAGGAAGGCTAAGCATAGCACTAAAATGTAAAGAACACAACATTTTAGTATGTTCTTGTAAGAAATTAAACAACAATTCAATAATTGTGTAGTAAAAAAATTACTTATTTCCTCAAAAAGAAGTTGATGTTCACTGTTATGTTTTCTCTTTTGTTGTTTCTCTCTATAATGGCTATCTGGAGAGTTGAGGCCTGGCCCTTGGTCCTAAAAGATTCGTTTTTCAGTGTAAGTACGTATATAGAGGGAATCAGAATATTGGTCCACACAAGAGTTGTAAAGAAAGGTGAGGGAAACCTTGCTCTAGTCTAGACTTATAAGAAATTAGGAACAAAATACAGATAGAGATAGAGATAGATGAAGGTAAGAAGGTAAGGTGGGGTGAGTGCATGATATAGACCAGTCTCTACTATCCTTGTTGTGTTCATTGTCTCTCTAACAGTAGATATATAGAGAAATGTCTATATCACAGTCCATTTCTTAATCTTTATATATCTATATGTCGGAGTGGAAAATGAGTTCCCATAAACACAAACACTTTAGACGTATTCACGTACGATAACATAGAACTATCTTTCAATAATTAGATTAATCCCATATAACATAGAACTATCTTTTTTAAGATTAATCCTATATGGGGATTTATGTAATAAGTATAGATGTGTTTTACAATTATTTTTCAAGATTTATGTTCAAGAGTTTTGTTAGTCAAAGGACAAAAGGATGTGATAGTTGAAGGAAACCAGAAAGGGTCCCAAAGTTATGTGTAAAGCTTTTACCAACTCATCGGTCCAGTTGTTCTCAGAACGAATATTTCTGCGTCTTTTTCTTATCCATGCTTTTGTTTCTATCTTAGCTTCGAATCTTTCTAAACAGTGCCGACTACACAGTGCACAAATCCGACAACCTTTTTACTCTAAAAATATATTATTTAGCCACCGGTCGATAAAAATTCAAATTCAAACTTTAATCTTAACCAAAGTCAACAATTAATTATAACTGCACATTTCATGAAATTCACAACTTTTCAACCACACATGCCATTAACTTTTATCAAAATCTAATAAAAATATGATTTTAATTCTCATCAAACATGGGCTTAATGTGTGAAAATAAACCGACCAAACTAGTTGCTAAGCTTGTTTGATTTAGATAAAAATAAAAAATTTAGTAGTTTTTTATAAAAGTAGATGAAATGTGTGACTGAAAAGTTGGTAAATGTTGTGGAACCCATAAAATATACAGTTAAAAACGAGTTTGCGAAAAAATGAGTTTTGAAAAATAAAGGCCAAACGAGGACTAAAGATAGTAAAAACTATAATTTTTTGTGTTCAATGTAATTTTTTAAATTATAGTATTCAGTTTAATGCTTTTTATTTATTAATAAATGCAATATTTTGTTCATTAAATATAAATTTAAATTTAATAATTTTAGTAATAATAAAATTTATAATTATATAATTGTCGAAATTAATAAATTTTTAAGAAATAAATAATAAGAAGATAAATGAAATACTATTCATTTGGTGTAACTATTGGAGATGCCACCTCGAATTGGTGTGATAATTGCAAACCATTGGAGATCAGGAGATGCCTTATTATTCTTATTCTCCTTATTGTTTATTATGCTTTTTATTTATTAGTCGTCAGGAGGTGTATTTTAATAATTTTTAGAAGTTTGAGGATTTGGGTATAATTTCAATTTAAATCACAATTAAATTTTAGCCATTGTTTGACTCCCATTTTATAAAAAAAATCATTTTTTCAAACTCATTTTCAATCACCCGTTCTCCAATAAAATAATATTACACGTAAATCAAAAACTTTTTCTTCATTTTTAATTCCACATTTCTCATTTTCTATCACGCGGTCTCCAATAAATTAATATTACACGTAAATCAAATACGTTTTCTTCATTTTTAATTCCACATTCTCCAAAATCACTATTCAAAAATGCATTTTTCTCTCAAAATGGGGCTCAAAGCACTAGTCGATCCCCAACTTAGGTAAGAAGCAGTAAACTTTAGTATAATGTTTCTCTTACAGGATGCTGTAGCGACAACGATGATGGGGCTCTGATGGTTCTACACACGATGAACTAGCGGTGGGTCTAACGCTACAAGGTGCCGTTGCACCAGGTCATGTGTACCAGTGCATAGATGGAGTCGCTGGAGCCACCAGAGAGAGACAAGGAAAAGGTGGGTTGCAATTTGTGGATTTTGGGTGGTTATGATTTAGAAAATGGATATTGGATATTATTAATATTAAAGATTTGAAATAATATTTGATTTTTGTATAAATAAACTTTAGATCTGATTTTTAAAACTGGATCTTAAAAAATCTGGTTGAGTTTCTCTTATTTCTCTCTTCCACCCTTTGCCTTATCTATCTAATCCACCGTAATCCATAGTTAGGGCCCAAGAGTTAGATACTCTACCGCAAATATAGGTTGGACTTTGGGCCCCAGCCCAAATGCTTTTTATGGAAAATGTAAAAAAAATTCAAAATTACATTAGTTTCCCTTAATTTTTTTTAAAAAAGATTTACTGAATTATTATAATGTTAACCAGTGTTGTGAAAACCGGATCTATCCCACTCCATGTTTCAACTCCTCTCATCTTCGGTAGTCCAATAGACTCCATTGATTTACAGTGATCCTCCCCAGTGATATGCATAATGCATTTTTGAATTTCAATTTCTTCTATATTCGCCGACAATTCAGTGGATTAATAAAATAAAATTGAAGGTTGGTTAATTGGTAAAGTTTTTGAGATACAATATTGCATGGAATAATATATACATTTGGACGTATAAACTTGTAAGATAGCTCGACCAATTCAACTTCTTTTGAACCCACTTCTCGCTCTTATTATACTTGCTGTAGATTTAAGCCAGAATTTGTCTCAAAAGTTAAGGGATAAATCCCACATACAATAATTATCGAAACATAAACCAAAATATAAGAGTTTGAACTATCTGTAGGATAGTTGTTTCAATTTTTTTCATACCGGATTTACACACTAAATACCGGATTTACAATTTATAACTTAATACAAAATATTTTAAACACGGTATTTACAACAGTTACCGTTTTTGTACATTAAAACAGATTAAATTATATAACAAGTAATTACAGTAAACAATTAAAAGATAATTGCAGAACACTAATATGCAAAACGATCAACAATAAGTTATTAAAACAAACTGTTAAATAAAAACTTTTAACCCGAGGCCTGTGTTACACATAGTTTCCTTAAAACAAATTTGTCCACTCACCGTACGTGCTTGAGGTATGATACGAGCGTCTGTCTCCCAAGATACAACGGAGAAACCAGTAAAATTCGAGCACAACAGATTCTACTCCGGCGAAATGAACAAGTATCTGAAAAATATCACCACAGACTCGAACAGAAATAGAAAATGCAGGAAAACAAAAACGGTATGCAAATGAATTTGCAAATGAAAATTCATGTACTGAAGTGTGGAAAAATGAGACACATATAAAGATTGGCTGCCCATTCATTTCATAGCAATTAAAACAAGAGTTTCAACAGTTTTGAAAAATCAAAAGTCTGTTGAAAATGTAGCAAAACGTGGACACTCTGCTCCTTTCGGTCTGACATTCGTGTATGCAGGTCGCGCCCGCATACAAGTTCAAGGTCCGAAACCTATTTCGATCCAAGATTTGCACCCCCCTGCTCGTGCACGTGGAGAGAGCCTCTATACTATACATGATTACACCATTATAAAGTGTAATCCTTTATAAAATGATTTTAGTTTTCATCCACTTCGTATGTGGGACAAACCTTATTTTTAGTTTTCCCACCAATATAAANATGATTACACCATTTTAAAGTACAATCCTTTATATAGTAGTTTTAAATTTCATCAACTTCCTATGTGGGACTAACCTTATTTTTAGTTTTCCCACCAACATAAACTCCTTTCACTTGGTTCACTTTGAGTTTCA